CCCCACCCCCTCGACAACTAACAACACAAGATGAAGGATAAAATAATATATAAAGTAATGTAGAGTAAAGTAAAGTAAACTGGTAGCCATGCATCATGTTACCAATTTGCATAATTATTCATGGATGGCAGAGCTTCAGTAGTAAAAGTACAGTACAGTACAGTACAGTTTTCAGGAACATATCGTGAGGAGGGAACACTCTATTCAAAGCAATATTTGTTTGATACATTACATGTGCGCTGTCTCCTCGGTCAGCCGGTAGTTCAGGTTCCGACTAGATTCTGCAAAACTGTCTAGTTTTGTTGTTGTTGTTGTTTCTTTTAAAATGTAAGTTGTTTTACGTTCCCATCAACACTCCTTAGATAATCTAGAAGGCGGACTTTCGACACTGCCTGTCACCGCCAACCCGCAGAAAGACTGAGATACTCATATTTTTAAATGTCTTCTACTCGGGAATGAAACTCCGGTCTACTGCGTGCGACAGCGAGGGGCCTAAACTCTGCACCACAGACGCCGGTACCGACTAGCTGAATGAATTTATATCGCTTTTGACGTCCTGAGGGTGGGAAGTATAGGTCAATGTACTTTTTTTTCGGTGAGTGTTTTGCGACGCTCGCAACGGCAAAATGTCATATGAGCGCGCGGGACACATTAAACATTAATTTTCAGTTTTATAGGAATTTCAACGTACTTTGTTCTCATTCCGTGAAACATATGTAAAACATATTGTTATGCAGTTTCCATATATTATGGCCTTGTTATCAATATGCTTGACAAATAAGCGCTCCAAAGTCTTCATATTTTATGTAAACAAGTAGAAACATATTTAAAATACAAAATTACATGTAAATGTATTAATGTCAGGCTGTACAGCCAGTAGTGTTGGTGAACCTCTTAATTTTTTTTTCAAACAGAATCTTCACTCTTCAAACTTGAAAAATACCCCGTGGCTGTGAATTATAATACATTGTGGTTTATGGATTGAGCTATTCATTACATATCTCGTAACCAGATACACTTTATTATGCCTTTGGCGAGATTCCAGCTCTTCCTATTGTAAATGTTTTCATCTCTAGATAAAAGGAATCATAAAAAACATAAAACCGCGGGTATAATCATGGAACCTTGACGTGGGAGAAGTGATGATTATGCAAGCCCCCCCCCCCCCCCCCCCAAAAGCAAGCAGCTGTGGCGTAAACTATTGTGGAGTCCTCGCCTGGTTGGGTGGCTCATCGGGTATCCTCCATGTGTGTGTGCGTGTGTGTGTGTGTGTGTGTGTGTGTGTGTGTGTGTGTGTGTGTGTGTGTGTGTGTGTGTGTGTGTGTGTGTTTGTGTTGTTCTATGTTATGTTCAGGCTCCCAACCGTGACGGCATTGTGCTGGTAAGTCCGTGGGAACGAAAATATACTTTTCTCAGCATCTTTGTTGCTTGTGTGTGCGGATCTACCCTCGCGTAAGTCTCTCGGAAAAGAATGTTTTACAGGTGGCTGGTTTGCCGGTGTAGCGGTGGGTAAACTCTGTCTCCCGGAGTGTGGACTTTGCTGAAATTATTGCCCCTGACAACTGAAAACTCATTGAAGTCGAATATCCCCGTAACGCTCAAATTATTGCCCACTAACAAATGAAAAGTCATTGGCCTCGAACATTCCTGGACCGCTGAAATTATTGGCCCTAACAGTTGAAAAGTCATGGAAATCGAATATCCCCGGAACTGTTTTTATGATCATGTATTTATTTGTCAGAAAAAATAAATAGTGTGTGTTCTGCTGGTGTTGGGCTAAACACAGACTTTTCTGAACATGAGAAATTGTTTGTGAGAGAAAGCAAAGGCCGCCTAGTCCTTCTATTTACCACCTGCAATCTCGTATATAAATTTTTAGCCTAAAAACCACACGTTTTTCAGTAAGATTTTCCTAAAGGGGGTTGGGGGGGGGGGGGATAACCCCCCCCCCCTCCCAGTGTACTTCAGGTAACAAATATATATATAGAAAATAAAAAGCCCCCCAAAAAACTAGATCCTCTCGACTTATGACGTTTTCATTTAGAAATCTACCGAAGCTTTGTTATCCATGATTTATTTTATTATGCAAATTGGTCACATGATGCATGGCTACCATTTTAATTATTAAGTACCCTCCTCGAAACATTTTCAAAACGAATGATTTTTATTCACTTTCTTGTAATTGTGCAAGACGTTCATAGGTAAATAGGATGTACTAAGGGTGAATTGGTTGATTTTTTGGGACTTTGAAACCAGTTTCTTAGTACAGAAGAATTTCATTGAAGATATATTATTATTGAAACTGCATGCTGAAATTTGGCCCACAAGTGCAAACCTGTATGGACTGGGGATCTTTTTAAGGATTTTGACCTACCTGTAAAAATTTTAAAAAAGTGAGCCCAAAGTATGGACCCCCGAGAGTCAGTTGACGAATTTTGGGGTACATGTTACAAAATATGTGAATATTTCCACCAGTTACCAATATTTCCCAATTTCCTCACATAGATCCCCAGAATAGATCTGAAAGCACTTTGTATTCTAAATTTGAACCCTCAAGCTTGAGTAGTTTTGGCAAACTCCTTGCACCAAGGACGTCGCATAATATTCCAAAAAGCAGATGTTGAGAAAACAGAAAAAACAGGAATTTTAAAAATGATTTTTTGTGCAAAATGCACTTTTCAATCACCCTTTTAGTTCACTTAAGGCGTTTTTCAATTGTTTTGTCGGTGAATGTTTTTTCCGCAAAAAACAAAAGTTCGATAGTTTGATAAATTTTATCGATATTTTCAGGGATTGCTGACTCGGGTCTTCCCGCAAATGCCGAGCACTTTCTGTCGGTGATGGGCTGGATGACAAAAATAAGAAACATGAAGAAAGAAATACGATGTTTTTAGTTGAACTGGTTTTCTTTGACTAGAATACTACCAAGTAATGTGAATACATAATTTTCAGATTGTCTATTTTACAGATATCATATACTGGCAATTAATGTAGGCTGCATCTAATAATTGAGGGTGCGGTGGCGGAGCGGTTAGTGCGCTCGTCTCCGAAGCGGAAAGTCCAGGTTCGAGCCTCGGTTCGGACACAAGTTTTTTTCACCTTCTCCTGCCCACCCAGCAGTAATGGGTACCTGACTTCGAGTTGGGGAAGTAAAGGCGGCGTAAAAAGGAACTGGCCGCCCCACCACAATAATAATAGGAATAGAACCTGTCACAGCTAGCAGCTTTTTAATATTTGTCGTTGTTGCTGGAGATTGGATATGTAGCAAGGGGACACAACCCATAAAAAGAAACCCCGAGCAATTTCCATTTATAAATTGTTGTAGTTACCGCCCTTAATATACCCCAAGTTCTCTCTCATTGAGTGAATTCTTGCCGTCCAGGAAGGAGCTGCCTTACAAACAAGAAAAAGAAGAAAGAAGTCCATTGCTATTTTAAAACGAATATATTAATTAGCTATTTAATGACCAGAATAAGGATATTCTTTTCTGTGGCTCAAAACAACAAATTAATGAGAAGAGGAAAGTTTGTTATTTGAAACCTTTTATTTTGTGTTATTTCCCATGAATGTCGTTTCTGAATGTTCTAAATGAGAGGATGTGAAGAAAGCAGTACTTTATGAAATATAAAAAGGCCAGTGAATGTTTGCATCTTTGATGACTCAAAGTGTGTTGGATTTTTTTTTTCAAACATTGATCAATGTGTGTATCAAAAATGTTGTTCTCGCCCTTAATGT